CATCTTTGCTGGTGAGGGGGGCCACTCGAGCCCCAAGGCCCCCTGGAGTGCTCAGTCTCCCTGCGTTCACTCCTGAGGGTCTTCCAGACACCCCCTCTCCAGCACCCCTCTCCCCTCACCCCTGCCCCTAATCTCTCCCAATCAGGAGAGATGTGATTTCTTCAGAAGCAGGGCCTGGACCTGAGAGGAGGAAGCCAGGCGCCCGGTGTGCCAGGGTGGTCTGGGGCACCTCCCCCGTCCGAACAGCAGGCGGTACCAGGTGGTATGGACCCTGCGGATCCTCTGCTTGCTGCGTGTCCTGAGGGGCTGCAGCCTCTGCCCAGCCCGGGAGACCCTGCTCCTTCCTGCCAGCACCTCAGCCGGCTCTCGCCACGGGGACCTGCCCGCCTGCCTGCCCTCGGCACCCCTGCCTGAACCAGCCCCCCGACGCTTGAGGAGCTGAAGGGAGCTGACTCTGGGTGCCAGGGGCCGGCGAAGGGCTCAGCGGGGTCAGAGGTGGGGGGACGCCAGCTCCCTCCTGAGCAGCTGACCGACTCACCCCTCAATCAACATGCACGTCTAGGGCTTCCTCCTTGGGCTCTGCCCTGGGCCTGTCCTAAAGCGCCCCAGTTGGGGTGGGGGATCCCCTCTGCTCGCTCATAGCCCCCTCGTTTGGGTTAATCCCACAGCCCTGCCCACTTTACCTGCCCGAAGGCCGCCTGCACCTGGGCCTCGAGCTCCTGCAGGAGCCGCCGCCTGTTGACTGCTGGGCTCACAGGGGCCTGGCTGGGCCCTGCAGTGTCCTCAGAGGGCTTGGGGTCCCCTGTGGGGAGGCTGTCACCTTCTGGGCCCTGAGGAAGGGCCATGGAGACGAGGGCTTGGCCCCTCTTGCTGGCTGAGGGGCACCGCCCCACTCCGGTCTCCTTGGTCCTGTGGGAGGGTGGCTCAGTGAGAAGCTGTGGGTCCCTGCTTCTCTCCTCCCTGTTCCCCGCTCCGTGGGCTGGGAGGGCCCCAGGTCCCCCAAGTCCCATCTCTTTCCTAGCTCCCCATGCCCCTCATATAGTGCCTCCCCAAAATCCTAGCCTTCCCCTACCTGTCCCCCTCCAACCTCATGCCAGCCACAGGCCACGCTCAGGCTCCCCAGGACCCGCTGGGCTCCGCACACCTGCGGCGGCCCCGGGGCCCAGTCACTCTNCACCTGTCCCCCTCCAACCTCATGCCGGCCACAGGCCACGCTCGGGCTCCCCAGGACCCGCTGGGCTCCGCACACCTGCGGCGGCCCCGGGGCCCAGTCACTCTGGCTCCCGGCTCCTGGCTCCTGAATCCCTTGCACTCACGCCTCCCGTTTCTGTCCTACTCTCTGGCCCTCCCTCTGCCCCTCTGCTCCGTGAGGTCTCTCCGTGTCTGTCTCCCTTGCAGCCCCCTCTGCCCCCCTGCCCCCTGCTGACATCTGTCTGCGGTGTCTGAGGGTCTCTGACCACTCAGGCCCATCCCTTCCCTCCCTCTTTCTCCGGTGGTCTGTCTTTCTGTCTGTCCGTCCTGTTCTTCTATTCTCCCCGCCATCCCCCCTCCTAGCATGCTCCTGGATTGTGGAAGACAGGTCCCCAGCCTCACCCCAGGCCCTCCCCTTTCTCCCGCTGCAGGGAACCTCTGAGCCCCCCTCCCACGCTCCCCTCCTGCCAGCACCTCCCTCTGAGCCACTGCTGACCTCCACCCTCCTGCTTCTCAGGGAAAAGACTGGGGTGAACCAGGGGGCCCCGCCGGCCTCCTGTGCCCCCTTTTATGTCCCCAGACCACTTACCACCCAGCTGCCTGCTCCTCACCTCCCGGAATGAGGTCAGCTGTCCTGTCCAGCCCTGCTCCAGGCCCCTCATGATTTATTTACCTGCCCCCCCACCAGCTTTTGTCCGGGGGAACCAGATCCTGCCAGAGGCCTGCCACCTGAGCTCCTGGCTCTGGCCTGTCCCGGCCGCGCCGCCATCCATTCATGTGTTCCTTTTGCAAACACCGAGGCCGCCTGAGAACCGGACCCAGGCCGGCTGCTGGGGCCACACAGCTGCCCAAGGGCCCAGCCCTCAGGCTCACCTAACTCAGAAAGGGACCAACGGACTGTCTCCGCGTGCCTGGGCGGCTTCACGGAGGAGACGAGGGGATGGGGAACGTTCTCGGCATTGCCCACCCAGGTTTACCCTGAGCCTGGGATGGGCTGTGAGCTCGGAGTGTTCCCGGTGCGGGAATCCACAGGATGTGCTGGGCGGAGGCCCTCAGGGGAGGTGGGGGTCAGCAGCCCCCTGAGAGGAAATGGGAGGCAAGAAGGGGGAGAAAATGTCAGAGGGGTTGCGTCTTTCACAAAGGCTTGTGGAGCACCTGGGGGTGCCCTCCTGGGTGCTGGACGCGGCCCTGCCTCCTAGAACCTTCCACGGGGCGGGAGACACATGCTCGGCCAAGGCAGAACGATTGTGCGGGGCGAGTGCGGGGAAGGGCGACCAGGCTGTCGAGAGGGAGGGGAGTGGGAGCCCTGCTGTGCCTGGGGGCCTGCGGAAGTGACAGGACACGTGAGCCAAGACCATAGGGATGGTGGGAGTGGCCAAGCGAAGGGACAGGTGGCCACCGAGGCCGGGGAACAGTGGCCACGCAGCCCTGGGACTGCCAGGGTGAAAAGACAGTCGCCGCTGCTGGTCGCGACGCGGCGCGGCTCCGAGGGGGCGCCCGGCAGCTCCTCGGAGGGGGACCCGGGGACTCCACTCCAGGCACATGCCCGGGGAACCCAAACACGAGTCCTCGCAGAGCGTGTGCGCCGATGCCCAGGACAGCGCCACTCAGAGCAGCGGCCAGGTAACGCGGCGCAAACGCCCGCCAGGGCGCGGGGCGCCCGTGAGCACAGCCGCGGGGGTGCTGGGCGCAGAAAGGACAGGGAGCGCCCTGGCGGGGGCCCAGCACTCAGAGCGCCGGCCCGCGGGCTCCACTCCCAGTCAGGGGCACGTACCTGGGTTGCAGGTTCAGTCCTGGGCCCTGGTTGGGGCACGTGCAGGAGGTGACCGGTCCACGCGTCTCTCTCACGTCCGTGTCTCTCTCTCTCTTCCACTCTCTCTGAAAATCAATGAAAAAATATTCTCCGGTGAAGATTAACGAAAAAAAAGGGGGAAAAAAAGAGAAAGGAATGATATAGTGACACACACCACAGTGTAGACGAACCTTGAAAACACGCTAAGTGAAAGTAGCCAGACGCAACGCCGTTTATAGGAAATGCCCAGAGTAAGCAAATCCGTGGCCACGAACACAGGTGAGCGGGTGCCCAGGGGTGGGGAGAGGGGTAAGGACTGACTGCTCGCGGGCCTGGGTTCCTTTTTGAGATGAAAATATTCTGGAATTAGATGGTGGTGACTGTTGCACAACACCGAATATACTGAAACTACAGAATGCACACTTTAGAAAGGAAAATTTTATGTAACAAGAACGCTGTTTATTTATTTACTTTAAAAAATATGTGTTTTGATTGATTTTAGAGAGAGAGGAAGGGAGAGAGAGAAACATCGATGGGCCGATCGGCTGTCCCCCGCACGCCCCCTGCTGGGGATCTATCCCGCAACCCGGGGTGCGCCCCGACTGAACGGGTGCCCTCTGGGTGCATGGGGTGATGCCCAACCAACTGAGCCACACCTGCCAGGGTGATAAAGCTGTTCATTTATATACATTTAAAACCCCACCAAAGACAGACGCTGATGCTGATATATACATGAACTGGAGGTGGGAATTGGACACAGGGAGGTGCCTGGCGGGTTGGACTGGGAACGCTGTGCATCTGGAGGCCCCAGGGTGGCCACGGAGCTGGACCACGGGCTGGGCCCATGGAGCCAGAGGACTGCAGGTAAAAGCGGCGACCTGGAACATTGCGGTATAGTGCCAAGCCACCCTGGGCAACAGCCCACCCAGTGGACCTGAGCGTGATGGCTGGAAGGTGTGAGCTCCAGGAGGCTGGCCCACTGGACCGCAGGGGGTCTCCCATTGTCCCAGGTCTGTGATGCGTGTGCACAGGGCGAGGCACATATGCTCCGGGCCAGAGCAGGTGAATGAACCTCTCTGAGCCTTGGTGTCTTTGTCTGCAAAATGGGAACAAGACTCCCTCCCAGGGTGCTGTGGAGATTAAATGACACCGTCTATATGAAAGCTCTTTGTAAGCTGCTAAGTGCTGGGCAGATGTTCCTCCAGCTGTGGATCAGGGATAGAACTCAAGTCTGGCACCCCCTCCCTCACGCCCTCCCAGATGTAGACAGCTGTGAGCTCAAATGGGGCTAAGAGATGCTGGTGATTAGGTGGGATGGTTTCCCCCCCACGCTTTGGGTGGGTACTTATGTCCCTGGGAAGAATACCTCCCTCTCCTTGCTGCTCGGACAAGAAAACCAGGCCGAGACAGTCAGCTGTCAGGCCCCAAGGAAGACTGCCACACCCACCGAGAGCCACTCCGCGCCACCGTCTCCAGAAGGGGCAACTAGGAGAACTGGGCTACGGGTGCCAGGTGGGCCCGAGGGGAGGCAGACACTGGGCTCTGCCTGGAAGGACACAGCCCTCCCAGGTCTAGGAATGTTAACAGTGTTGGAGCTCTTAGGTTCCCCAAGATAGAAATTGAGAGGAAACCCCAGAGAAATTTCCAGACAGATTTTATTAAGCCTGTACTCAGGCACAAGGGAGACAGCCCAAAGGAAAGGAAGGGCCTCGGAATTGGCCTGGGGGGAGCTGGCTCTGATAGGCTTCTTTTATAAGCTGGGGACAAAGCCGGCTTATGGGAAAAGGCAGGCTTTTTGAAAATTTTCCACGTCAGGGTCTTGTGACTTCTTTTTCCTGCTGCGTTGCCTGGTAACTGTGTTCACACCTGACGTGGGGCTGGATGGAGGTGTAGCTCACTAGTGCCACACCAGGAAGGTCATATAGTTGTCAAACCCCCCTCAGCTGCGCAGGGAGGGTGGGTAGTTTCAGCAGTCTGCNCTGTACTCGGGCACAAGGGAGACAGCCCAAAGGAAAGGAAGGGCCTCGGAATTGGCCTGGGGGGAGCTGGCTCTGATAGGCTTCTTTTATAAGCTGGGGACAAAGCCGGCTTATGGGAAAAGGCAGGCTTTTTGAAAATTTTCCACGTCAGGGTCTTGTGACTTCTTTTTCCTGCTGCGTTGCCTGGTAACTGTGTTCACACCTGACGTGGGGCTGGATGGAGGTGTAGCTCACTAGTGCCACACCAGGAAGGTCATATAGTTGTCAAACCCCCCTCAGCTGCGCAGGGAGGGTGGGTAGTTTCAGCAGTCTGCAAGGAAGCAGGCAGTGAGAGGGAGATAAAATCAGCTACCTCTGTGTTTTTGAGTAGGGAGTGGAGACGTGGTGACATTTTTGCAGTCAGCTTATTCTGCCTTCCTTCTGGCCACCTAGTCTTAACTTGGCTTCCTGGCCGCCAGGTGTCCCTCTACTGCCTCAGGAGGTCCTGCTCATTCCAGTCTTTCTGTCTTTCTTTCCATCCACTCGTAGCCCCAGGTCCAGCCTGAAGGGTGCAGAGCACTCAGACTCAGTAAAAATGGCTTGGAGATGACAGAACCTGCAGAAGAAAGAAAGAGAGTTAAAAGTGAGGCCTCTGAAGCCGGCCAGACCTGGGTTTGGGTCCTGTTTACTAGCTGTGTGGCCTTGGGAAAGTCACTTAACTTCTCTGTTTCCGTTTCATTCTCTGTAAAACAAGGATCAGAACAGTACCAAGCTTAGGGTTGTGATATTTGCAAAGTTCTCAACACTGTCCTCGGCCCCTAAGGGTTCGCTGTTATTATTATCACGGACGGAGGACGTGCAGATGGGTAAGTCTGCTGAAACTGCATTCATTCGTGCAACAAGCATTTACCGTGTGCTGGTGCAGGGGACCCAGCAGTGAGCGAGGTACTCATCCTGGTCCTCGGTGGGCCCTGAGGAGCTATGTGGCCCGTGATGTCCCTTGCATAGCCTCTGCCGGGCAGGCAGGCATACCCTTGCAGATGAGCAGGTAGGCCTGCCAGGCCCTGCCCCCACCACACCCAGCCATGCCTGGGACCAGGCAGAGTGACTGCACATTCCTGAGGTGAGGCAGGGAGGGCTGAGGTTTGAACGGTAAATATTAGGCCTCTGGGCTCCTCTTCACCTCCTGTGCACTCTCCCTTCGCCACCCGCCAGAGAGTAGGGTCTGGACTGGGTGGGGAGCAGGCCCTGGCCAAGCCACCCTCTCTCCAGGGTGTCTGGTCCCGCAGCCCCGCAGGCAGGCCCTCGCCTAGCTGTGTCTCTCCTAGTGACGCCCTACACCTGCGCCTTCTCGCCCGCAGGGCACCTGCTCCTGGGCCGGATGAAGGGCACTGGCAGGGCCTGGGCCAGGCACTCAGGCTTCTGCCACTATTCCTCTGTCTTTCCTGGGACACTGTGGGGCTGGGTGTCCCCCTCTCAGACACTGTTGGGGTCATGGTCTCCACTCTTCCCCTGTGGTGCACCCTCTCCCAACAGGCTGCAAGGTTAGGCTTTCTCTCCTGGTCCTCTGTCCCGTCCGCACATCCCTGTCTCCCCTCCCCCAGAGCACTGCGAGGCCACGCACATGCTGCTGGCTGACCAGGGCCAGAGCTGGAAGGAGGAGGTGGTGACCATGGACACCTGGCTGCAGGGTTACTCAAAGCCTCCTGTGTGAGCACTTGTGCCTGGCGGGGTCAGGGGCTGGGCCTTGGGAGGCAAAACTAAGCTGGGGGACAGCTGAGCTCAGCGTCCCTCACCGAGCCGTGCCATCCCCCCAGCTGTATGGGCAGGTCCCCAAGTTCCAGGACGGAGACCTGACCCTGTACCAGTCCAATGCCATCCTGTGCCACCTGGGCTGCTCCCTTGGTGAGTCCTGAGGTCCAGAAAAGTACCCTCCAGGTCACAGCAGGACGTTCAGGGGCCTGAGCTGAAGCACAGCTACCAGGGTCCTGCCCTGCTGACCAGCAGGCGGAGGGCGCTTGGGGAAGGCGCAGGGCCAGAGTCAGGAGGGCTCTCGGTCACGGGCTGCGATGGCCAGTCCACCTGGGCAGGGGCCACAGCTCAGGCCAACCCCCAGCCAGGTGGTGCCAGATGGGTTCTCTGGGCCATTTCCTGGACGACAGCTCAGAGGAGGCCGCCAGCCCCCACGCGTGGGCTGCAGGAGGCTAGAGGTTCCTGTGCTCCAAGGGCAGGCCTGTGGCCTTGTTTCAAGGGTGGCAGGGACACGGCTTAGGGAGGTGTCCCCCTCTTCTTTAGCCAGCCTGGGGGGGGCTGCAGAAAAGCCTCAGGTCCCAGGAGGATGTGGCAACTAGGAACAGGGGCAGAGGAGCAGTGGGACCCTAACTCCTGCAGGACCCAGGTGAGGGCAGAGGCCTTCTGCAGCCTGTCACCTCAGGCTTCGGGGAGGGGGCTCGGGGCCATTTGGGCAGGGGTGTGGCCCAGGAGGCAGGCAT